TTTGAACCCCAGAGACCCAGTCACCCAGCCTAATTTAAGAAAGTGTAAAGAAGCTTTGAAACCAGACACTGTGTTTTTCGGGCCTGGCCTCTCATGGTTTTACACCCTTAGTGTACCCCTGGAATAGCAGGTGTGCTCTAGATTGTGTAAGACTTAAACTACTGACGAAATGTTCTTGATTCTGACATTCAAGATTGTCTTACCTGCTGGTTCTTTTTTTTTTTTTTTATCCAGGCTGCTGTTCATGTGCTGCTTTGACACCAGCAGTGAAGGTTATTCATCTTCAGCAAAGAACTATGTGAAAACGGTAATCGTAAAGAACACAAAAATTAATACAATTACAAATGTACATTACATTATGTTAAGTGTGCATTTCAAAAGCAGAGAATTTGCAGGTTGTTAGATCTGATTTTTTTCCTTGATGTCTTTGTGTTGCTGCACAGTGAAACTGGCAAAGCGAGAACAAGTACTGAACGTTTTGACAAACAAAAGAGAGAGATGTGAAAAGATTGAGTTTCAAGATAAAACCGGCATTAAAGTGTTTTCACAGCAACGTAGAGTACCTTCAGCAGTGATGGTACTGTCAAAACTTTTTGTATGCCTGTTGTCAAAACTCTGCAGTCCTTAGGGTTATTTTTGGCGCATTTGTGGTGGGCCTCAGGGTTTTTTGTGTGGTTGGTAACTGGAATGAGGGTCTTTATATAGACATGCCACTGGCCTATTTAGTGAATGTGAGATCTCATTAAGATATCGTAAAGTGCACAAATACTCATCCTTCGTGTGAGTTTGTCACATGCATTCTTAAAGGGGTCATATGATGTAGCTAAAAAGAACATTATTTGGTATCCCCATATGTGTGCATATATGCATGCATGTAAATGTACATGATAAACAGTAGAAACAAATGGATAAGAAGATGTACTGTGGAAGAGGCCAGTCCTCCCACTAGAAAGGGCACTCATCATATTGAAGAAGTTGATCAAGAAATAGGAAAAATTCTCAAAATTAAATCTAAATGCATTAGACAGAAAAAAACTACTTGACTCTTTCTGCCTCAAAAAGATTTAAGAATCACCATTAACAGTGTCATTTACATCTCCAAGCCTCATCTTAATCCGATAAAAGCACTCGCAGCGGTTCTTACAAATTAAGACTGACATTTAACTGCAAGTTGGAGTCTTTGCCAAGTTAGTCTGGGTTTATTAAAACCCCCTGAGATTATTTTAATAGATTTTGTTTCAGTTCTGTAGAAGAGGCTTGAAAAGGCTTAGGTGAGTAAGGCTGTTCTTGCGAAACAGCCACGGGTATGTAATACCAGTAGTTAAACACTTAGAACCAGGGGCCTCTGTGTGGTTTCCTCCCACACAGCTGAATGTGATAGAGTGTGTGCTCTACGTGTGCTTCAAGAGTACATACTGTTCAAGAAGGCCACTTTAATGTTTATGTAGTGTGATGCACATGACAGATTTGTAAATATTGCATTGTATGTACTGTATATATTAGATAATACAGAAACTCGCTTATTTCAGCCTACCATCTTCTTACTGACTGACTACTTTTTGCTCAGGGGCTGATAATGTGCAGCTTTAATTGTGCTTTAACTGGCAAGTTTACATGGAAAAACAGATCTTTCATGTGGAGAAATTCGAGTCGTCTCTCAGCATGTGTGGGAGCGTTTAATCAGGCGAACTGCTCTGACTCGTAAGACTGACGTGGAAATGATTAGAATATGACTAAGTCTGACATTCCCGGACCAGACGTCTGACTTTGGCTTTTCCAACATTGACGCAAATGACTGCTTCAAAATAGGCCAATGGATGCCCCACTCCCCTCAGCAAGTTCCCATTTGTTCACAGCTCATTTTTAACATGAGAGGTAAATGGATAGTTCTCCAGGGAAATTGTGTCATTGTTGTCTAAAAAGTATAGTTCACCCAAAAATGAAAATGTGCTGGAAATTTACTCACCTTCATGCCATCCAAAATGTCGATGAGTTTATTTCTTCAACGAAAAAGAAATTTAGCATTACATCACTTGCTCACCAACGGATCCTCTGGAGTGAATGGGTGCCGTCAGAATTAGAGTCCAGACAGCTGATAAAAACATCACAATAATCCACAAGTAATCCACACAACTCCAGTACATCAATTAAAGTCTTGTGAAGTGAAAAGCTGTGTGTTTGTAAGAAACAAATCCATAAGGTGTTTTAACTTTAAACCGTTATCCGAGTCCTCTATCCACAATTTTGCTTTCTCCAGTGAAAAAGTTATCCTTACAAGCGAAAACATTCCAAAACAGTTCTAAACAATTATGTCGTGGATTCTGATGTGAGAGAACAACAGGAAATTGCCTTTTTCATTGGATGAAGAGTTATTATGTATATATTTTTTTGTCATGTGGATTACTTGTGAATTATAGTGATACTTTTATCAGCTGTTTGAACTCTTATTCTGACGGCACCCATTCACTACAGAAAATCCTTCAGTGAGCAAGTGATGTAATGCTAAATTTTTCCAAATCTGTTCCGATGAAATAAACTCATCTACATCTTGGATGGCAAATTTTCATTTCGGGGTGATCTGCTCCTTTAAGAACCTTTTTCTACCTTATCAGAATTTTAAAATGACTTAATGGTAACCTAATTTAGTTAATGTAGGTGTTACCACATGAAGCAGTTGATGTCCAGACAAGACATTTTTACAATGTAGACTCTTTTTCAATGCAGTTTCTTCCAATTATTTTTTCTCTTGAGACAGCAGAGATTTGAATTGGAATTATTGAGATGAGATAGAGGGGTTGGACTCAAACCAGTGTCTTCCTCCTTGGCTTAATGTGTCGTTACTTACTGGTAGGCCACAGCTCCGACCTAGACTGTTTTTAAGGACTCTAGATGTCAGTTTAATTTGCTTTGCTGCTATTGCATATTAGCAAATCATCAGTTTATTTAATTGTGTACAAAGGGACAAATTATGGCCTTGTTTCCTCCCTATCCTCTTTGCTGCCATCTCCATTCAGGCAGCACATCAGAAGGTGAAGCTGAGCCTGCTGTTATGTAACAATTATGAAATCTTTCTTTCTATTTTTAGACTCCAATATTGTCAGGTTTTTGAAACGATGATGAGCTTGGTTATGATCTTGGATCACTTTGTGCACTGATTTGATTGCATTAAAACCCTAATTTATGATGCTGTTATTTTAAAGATTTATTGCAGTTTTTTGTTTGTGAACATAGTTGCGTAATACCTTCTCTAGCTCAGCACAAAAACATGCCTTGACATCTCCATCTCTTCACAACAACAAGCTCTCATTATTGCTAAACCTGACACCAGTGATTTATGAATGATGATTCTGCAGTTTTTATATCAGACTTATATAAACAGTTTCTATGTGCAACTGGAAAAAAAATCACATATCAAAAAATCCTATTTAATCAAATACTTAAAGGGATAGTTCAAGAATTTTTTTAAATTCTGTCATCATTTATAGATCATCATGTCTTTCCAGACCTGTATAACTTTCTTTTCTCTTAAAATAAATTAAATTAAACTTAAATATTATTTATAAAATAATAAATAATAAATTCCATATAATGGAAGTCAGTAGGGTCCAAAACAACATTGGACATTCATTGTACAGACAAAAAACACTGGAACATTTTTCAAAATATCTTTTGTGTTCCTCAGAAGAAAGCCATGCAGGTTTGAAACAACACAAGTATGAGTAAATGATGACAGAATTGTCATTTTTGGGCAGACTATCCCTTTAAATGCAAATTCAGTAGTGACCAAACACTTTAACCCAGCTGTGACCTTACATCTAAACCAAATCCTCACCAAAATCCTAATGTACATGCTATACTTAATCTCTTACATTCATGCTAGCTATAAAAGCAATCCAGTATGCTTTCATAATGGCATTGAAAGTTCTACACTGACAAAGTATGTTTCGTATGAAGCGGGAAATGAGACCATTTACTGTTTTGCTTTCCTGGAATTCCAGTGATGGAGATCTCTCTTCCAGAAAACCTTCATAATGTCTCCATAATAATCTGAACCCGCAAGTTCCACTGCAAAACAGCCTGCCCTTTTCACCAACAGGAGATGGAGGGACCCAGAGGAACATTTTACAGCTCAGATCATCCTCTTTCATAGCCACTTAATGGATTCGCCTCAGATGTTTCTCCTAAAATTCCTTAAGAGCAATAAAAACAGGAATTATGCACAATTGCTCACATGCAGCAAGAACGTAAAGCTATAAAATGAATGTGAATTGTGTTTGTTCTAGGAAGAATCTTAGAAGAATTTGGGACTTTTTTCTCTTCTAAAACTCAAAGGAGACAAATCTAAGAAGCAAAATGAAAAAGCTGTCATCACTCACACCCTCATGTCATTCTATAACTGTATGACTTTTTTTCTGTGGAATATTATAGAAGATATTTTGAGAAATATCTTTTTTGTTGGACTATACAATTAAAATCAGTGGGCTCCAGTGTTGTTTGGTTCTCAATGTTCTTCAAAATATATATATATCTTTCCTTCCACAGAAGAGTCATTCGGGTTTGAATGACATGAGGCTGAATAAATGATGACAGAATATTCATTTATGGGTAAACTATCCCTATAAGCAATTTGCTCTGTATGTAATTTGAAAAAAGATTAAATGGATTTCAGTTGTGTTTTCATGTAGGGAGTGATGAAGAAAAATCCAAGGGAAAGAGTAACCACATAAGTGAAACAGAAATAGAGGAAATGGAAAGAATAGGGAATCTATGAGTGAGGAAACAAGACAGTGAGCGAGCTGGTGAATGAGAGCGAGGGGGGGAGATATAGGCAGAAGGAACTTGTTGCCCCTGGTTGGTGTTGTGTAAGACTTGGCTGGCTGTAGCAGAATAACACTCTTATTCTCTCAGTGCTTTGAACTCTGGTACCCTACAGCTCCGACCACCCCTCTCTGCAACAGCAAGAACTCACACTGAGGTGCCCCTCTCTCACTCTCTCTCTCTCTGTCTATTTCTCTCTCCCCTTTCCTGCTGTGTCGCACTTCTCTTTCTCTTCCCATAAGTCGTACCTCTCTCTCTGCTCCCATCTCATTTGTCTTTCACTTTCTCCCACATGTGCTTGTCTGCTTCAGATGTGCTGTTGTACCTTTTTGCATTTGAAGAAAGTTTATGATATTTTTTCTGTCCTGATGGACTGAGAACAGGCGTGTACGGCTTCTTCAGCTGGTAAGAACCACCTGCATCATGTCTGTACCATGCAAATGTGTTTTATTATAGTTTCATATAGGAGGCAGCTGCGTTCATAATTATACTGTATGTATTTTAGGTTGCATCTTTCTAAAAGCTTGTGTAATAGTGTTTTTCTTGTATAAGTGGTTGTGTAACCCACACATTGCTTCCTTGTTGCATATGCGTGCGTAAACATTGTATGTTGTTCAGGGTGAAAGTGAATCCACGTGCGTGTGATGGTCATACAGCAGTGTCTGGGGTCTGCAGGTGCGTGTGTTAATATGTGTCGATAACGAGTGGTGTTTGGTTCCGTGTGTGTGTGTGTGTCAGAACTGCACATCTTGTTTGGGATCGGTTGTCATTTCACGAGGCTATTGGAATGAACGAACCCGTTGACCCGCGGTTTAGCTGAGGACACGCCCCTCCCTTACACACGCACGTACGTCGCTCTGTCTCGTTGTTTTCACTGAGCCCTCTTGTGTTTTCCCTTCTATGGAAGGCCAAAAGGGCCAAAACCCGTGAATTTTAACACGTCAACAACGCTTTAAACACGTGCATTTCACGCGTAAACAACACGTATTTAACGCGTTAAATACGTGTCCTTTACGCGTGAAAAATCAGCGCGTTAAATACATGTATTCAACGTGTTAAATACGCATGAAATACGTGTTAAATAAGCGTGAAGTATGCATTAAAAATCAGTTTGAACGGGTCAGTGTCATTGGCTGCTGAGGACTTCAGGCATATTTAACAGTATTTCACATGTATTTCACACGTTGAATACACGTATTTAACGCGCTGATTTTTCACTAAACGACACGTATTTAAATTCACGTGTTTTTGGCCATTTTGGCCTTCCATACCCTTTGTCTCGCTCTGACGCTGCTTTTTTAAAACCCTATATCGCGAAATTATTTACTTTAAGCTTCTGTTTTGACATAAAGGTGTTGGCACGGCCACAGACAGAGGCTTCAAACAGCTGGTAGGTTTTAGAGAGGGCTGACTAACTGAATATACTTCTGCGTCACACACGCGCTACGCAGTTGCTATGTTTCACTTGGCACCGTCACTGGATTCAAGTGCTGAAAGAATGAACTAGAAACGTCCTCTAAAAGAGGACTTTCCTGCCCTAAATGTAATTTGAGAAAGTTTAGTAACTTGTTTTTTACGGTTTGGCATGTTGTTATATTTCTCTTGTTATCTGCTAGAGCTGCAGCGACATCGTGTGGTTGGTTATGTAACAGACGAACCCAGTGACCCCTCGGATTCATTGAGGCTTACTAGGAACTGATAAATTAAGTTAGGCATGCCTTAACTGTTAGCTTAGGGTTGGTTTAGTTAGAAACTACAAATATTGAAAATAACTTGAGATTATTTATATGGTACTTATAGATTCGTGTGTGTGTGCGTACAGGTTTATAAATATGTTTAGTATTACATAAAAAAATTACTATTTAAAGAGTTGACAAGAGTAACAGTTTGTAACTCAGTTTTGTAACAGTGAAAGCGTTAGGGATATGGATTAGGGATATTAATTATATTAACACTATAGTGCCTGATTGATTGATTGATTGATCGATTGATCGTTTGTTTGTTATTGTCCGATATTAAATTGTTTTTGCCAATATTTAGTTGTTTCTGTTTATTTTAAGATTATTATAAGCACTTTTCCCTAATATATATATATATATATATATATGTGTGTGTGTG